ACACACACATACACACACACACACACGCACACACACAGACAGAGAGAAAGTGACGGACGAGCGGCGGAAAGCAAGCGATATCTGGCAACTCGGTCGGTCTCTTTAAACGGTTACGCACAAATTCCCACTCAAGTAAGTGGAAGTAATTTATTGTGTGTCCCTTTTGTGAATGGCATTCATTGAAGCGCTTTCTTTTGGCCACTATTGCCAATATATACATATACATACTTACTTACATACATACAGAGACAGACATTTATATATGCATGTAAAGCTGTGTGACGTGCTTGTTTGCGCGCATCCTTTTACTTTCTCAGCCATACAAGCATACAAAGATACAAACAAACAAACATACAGACATGCCACATTCATTGTTGCTTCGAACCAATTGCCCATTCGTTCGTTGACTGCTTTTGTTTGGCTTATTAAAAAGCTTTATTGTTTCTTCGCTGTTCGAGTGGAAGCAAAACTATGAAACTAATAATAGTTAAGTTACGTTATGGTCCTTTTCGTAAAGGATGATAACGTTATTGCTATTGCTATTGCTATTGCTTGTTGTTGCTATTGTTATTTTGTTGCTGCTTTTTATTAAGGATCAGTTGAGTGTTGGAATGTGGCACTTCGGCCGCCAGTCAGGGTTACTTACTATAGGTACATTCAATAAATATTACTATATATTCGTACGAGCAAACATATTGAGACCCATATTCCATATACATACATACATGCATACATATTTATGTATATACCACAGAGCATGACAACCAATGAGCATTACAGCATTTCATAAATCGCATTTCCACTGACCCTGACCCTGTGTCTAAAGGCGAATTTATTCAACTGCAAACGGTTCGTGATTCCTTTGGCATGGCAGCTTGAGTATTTACGCAGCCGTACATACATATTCATTATGCGTCTATATTTATGTGAGTGTCTATGCATAAGCATTCGGAACGCGTGCTCATCGCTCCAAAGTCAATTGGGTCCGTTTGAACAATAATTGACCGTATGAGTTACAAAGTTGCTCTTTTTTAATTTGAATCGGTACGCAGGCGTAGAGTCATAACTGTTGGGAAACTCGCTCATGTGTACAATTAATATTTATATATAATATTTATATACTTAAGTTATATACACACATGTATGTACATACATGCGTGTGGGCATAAATTGAATAAAATTGTATGATGAAATGTTTATGAAATTCTTCATTTCTTTCATTTTTCTTTTGTACTTGTTCCCCCTCTCCTGAGCAGCTTTGGCAAAAAGTTTCAAGTTTCAAGTTTCCCTTGTTGTATGGGGTTGGGGAGAGAATGCGCTACTTTTGAAATTAGTTGAATAATAAACGCTATAAAAAGTACTTCATGCGTGTAAACTGTTAATTTGATCAGTCAGCAGAGATTTGGGAATTTAACTTTTTTTAATCAGATTATATCCGCAGTGTAGCCCAATACGTTTGGCAGTTGTGCTGAGGACTTTTAAAGCTCAAAAGAAAATTCTGATGAATTCAGTAATATTTAACAAAAGACAGTCTGAGTTAAAAAGGCGAGGGTTTGGTTTTTTTAAAAGCAACACGTCTCTCTTATGTTGAAAATAAAAAATGGAGAGAGAAGGTAAAAAAATAAGGTGACCCCAGAGAGGTTAACTGAATAAAGTAAAGGGTTTTTCCATAAAAGGTGTTATTTTGAATAGCCTACTATTCGGGTAGACCTCACTTTTGAAGCTATAATTTTTTGACATTTGACGCGTCCACAAGTGAAAAAGTTCGGGAATTTCATTGAAAAATCATTTTAGCTGATGAGGCCACCAACCCATTTCGATGGTTACGACGATAGGCAAATAAGGTTTTTGTTGAAGAGCCTTTTTATTCTTAACATGTTATTGTCCGGCGGGGTCATTGAACCTTACTTTTCCGAAAATGAATTGAGAGCGGCATCGAGTGATGATTAATGAGTTCATTAGGTCCTGACCTTTCTGTTAAAATTTTAGTTTGGTGTTTGTGGGCAATGCTTCTAAATTTTCTCTAATTAGAGATAACATTTGAAATCGGAAGTAAGCTTATTGCTGATATTTCTACTCTTAGCCCAAGTTTTCGATTCAACTTTGCAAAAGCTAATATTAAAAAATTTTATCAGAAGCTGTCTAAATTAACTTGGTCAAGTTGTAGTGATAATATTGAAGCAACTGCATTTTAACAGTACCATTATTTCTCTTTATAAAAAATTGTGTACCTAAAAAGCCTGGGCTTAAACTAAAACTCATAAATTCGTGGCTTACAAAGGAGTTTTGTTGTTTAAAGAATGGCAGGTTAAGAGCTTTTAAGCTTTTTCAAGAAAAGTGCCTTACAATTACGTTACTTAGGATACTCGAGCCTTCGCCGAAAATTTCTTGAGCTTAACAAAAAATGTTATAATGAATATATATAATGAAGTTAAGAAAAATATATTATGCAAATTCCAAAGCGGTTCTACGAGTTTGTTAACCCCGCCATGAAATGCAAATCTACTGTGTTATGAGACACTCTAATTATTTCCAATGTGTTCCCGCAATTTTTTGAATCAAATTACTTAACTAACTCTCCGAGTGGCTTTTTCCGTCTGTCAGCATTACTTACGTTCAGCAACAATAATCTACTCACCAACTATTTCTAAGGAAGATGTGATATATCATTTGATAAACCTAAACCATTTTTTCAGTCATGGTCCAGATATGATTCCTACATGCTTTCTGAAAAGTTGTGCAATAACTCTATTTGCCTTCAACTAAACTTTGTAATTCCTCTCTCAAACAATTTGGAAGCAGTCTTTTACAGAACCCTTACATAAGAGTGATTACAGGTCTGTTATTGAAAATTATAGGAGCTCTTTGTTGCAATCATTGCTAGTCAGATAACGTTTTCGATCTCCTCACTACTACCCAATGCCCAAAACGGATTTTGTAAAGGAAAATCAACACTTGCAAATTGGCTCAAATTTGCCACATATTTCTAAAGCCTTTAGAGATAATAAGCAAAGTGACCTTATCTATACTAACTTCAGTAAAGCATTCGATTGGCTTAATCACATAATTCTCATTCATAAACTAAATATTCTGGGTTTACAACCAAGATTTCTTCAATGGGTTTCCACGTACCTTTGCAATAGAACCCAACGTGTAACATTTAAGGACACTTTATCTCATTTAACTAATGTCTCACCAGGAGTTCCTCAAGGTAGCCATTTCGACATTATTCTGTTTCTATTATTCATAAATAATTTATCTTAGGTAATAAAGCATTCAAATATCTTTCTATGTCATATTCATCATTCGACTTGTTACCAATCGATCTAGACAATTTAGCTATTTGGTGTGATAGCAACGACACGCCTTCGAACCTTAAGAAGTGTAAGACCATGTGCTTTTCACGAAGACTTGTTCAACTTTCTCCCTTTGAGACGCTTGTGCAACGATTTTATTACTCATTCCACTAACATTGAATCCTGCTTACTTACCCACTTACTAAGAACTTGAAATAACTAAGTAATTTTCTTCTCCTTTTCCCCTACAAATTTATAGCAGCTGATGAGCAAATCTGTAGTTCTTTAGTGGAAGAGGCAAGTGTAACTGCGACCTATCGCATTCGGTCTCGTGCTTAGAGCAGATTTTCATTCGTTATTATGAAAGGATTTGTCCTGGAAGACTGTAGTATCAACATTCAGCCTAAACCACTGATTAAAGAGAGCTGAAATTAAGTGGCTTAATTCTGTGTATGGCGTAGTCATTTGATAAGAAAGAATTTTTCGGGAAATTAACTTGTGACCCATCAATTCAAAAAAATCTGATTTACACTCAAATGGTTGGATTTGCATAAAATTTGGAACAGAGGCAGTTTTTGGCCTTGAATTGTCATGTCAAATACTTTTATACCGAGAAATGTAGCTGGAGCTGAAATTTTAGGAAAACTGGTGCTCTTTGGTCGATTTGCTTGAAATTCGAAATCCAAAAGCTCTTTGCTTAGTTTAAAACACAGAAAACTTTTTCTTTCCAAAAGGTGGTTCTGCGAATGATCTATTCGAAGAAATCGTGTACGTATAAAGCATAACAACTGATGAAAAAAAAAATTTAGAACCCTTTCTCAAATCAAATTCGGGCGCAGTCGCAGGAGAATTGATCTGGATCAGCAAAACAATTTTTGATTCAACTTAAAGAACAATTATTAAATTCCATTGAGTTAAAAAGTCTAAATCATTTTAAATTTATTGATAAATTATTTAAATTTTTTTTATTCAAAACACGAGGAAAAAATTTATAGCTTAGTCTGAGAATTATTTTATTCAAAAAACTGCTTGCAAAAAAAAAAATAATAATTTGAATCTAAAGCGATTAAGGAGATTTATAGGAATTACAACCGAATTTTATACAAATTTGTCCGCAGCCTTTTTCGCTTTGTCAATTGCAAAGGCAAAGTTTTAAATAGTTTTCGGAGGGCATCAAATACAGCGCCGTCTTACAAAGATTAAAGAAAAAGAATTGCAAAGAAATTCGGAGCAAGAGTTTTTCAAAGACTGTCAGCTAACTACAAAGCCCAAGCATATTTGCTTATCAGCTATTCAATTGAAATCGACTTCCAAACCATAAATTTACTACAAACATTCCACATAGCCAACAAAAGATAAAAAAAAAATATTGAAACGCATTTATGCTTGAATCAACTCCGAAAGCAGCACCTCACTTTCCCTACCCACCCCTCTCTCTATAGCGCTCTTTGCAAAACGAAAGTACGGCAGCAGAAAGTAAAGTTTTCGTATATTTTTGCCTTAAGCCCACAAATTGCTTCGGCCGCCAACAATGTTTGGATCGGTCAATAGCGAGAAAATCACTTCATCTTTCATTTTCTTATCTGCCTTAACTTGCTGTATATGTGCTCCTAGTTGTGTGAGTGGCCGTGTGTTTGTTTGCGCATCCGTGGTATTTGCAGCATTTTAATTTTTGAAATTCTCAAATATTTTGCATACTTTCAGGCGACGTCAGCACCAGTGCTCCGCATGCAAGAGCCGCAACCGCAATTTCGTCTCAACAGCTTGGAACCGGGCAGAGAATATCAATTCCTGGTGTACGCCGTTAACGCGAAGGGACGCAGCGAACCGCCGGTCGTTATTGAACGTGTACGAGTGGCGGCCCAATTGGGGCCTTACGGTAAGTCACCCTACATTCAACTCTGTTTTTTTTTTTTTTACAAAAATTCTTAGATATTTGGCGCATTTTGCCTTTGCGAAAAAGCCAGACTGCTTAAAACTGGTAAACTTTTACCTCTTTCATTTCTATCATTCCTTCTTGTGGTTAAATTTGCTCTGAAAACTCGACAACTTCTTAAATTCGCACGTCTTCCACTTAAATGATTTCAAACATTTTGTGACACATGCAAATACTTGCACACTTGAGCTTAACGACGCCGACTTACACACATGTGCGCTTGTATATGTGTATGTGTGTGTGAGCTTCAATAAGCTGACTGCGTTTGCTAAAGCTCCTTTTCATTTTGCTCATTCATCGCTTCGTTGCGTTGCCAATTTGTTTCAACACCAACAGAGACTTGCTATAGTTACAGCAACAACAACGAACCCAAATCTGACAGTTGCTGCAACCAATGCGAAAAGTTAAATGGAGGGAAGTAAGAAATAGAAATTTTGATATTCGGAAATAATCGGATGGAATTTCAGACGTCTGCAATTGAGAGGCGACGGCATTTTGTTGGAGAGAGCTAAATAATAAAATATAATTATTTTTCTAAATTCACTAAATTGTATAAAATGAACAAATAAGCAAATAAATGAATTTATATTAAATAGTAAAATAACATAAATAAACAAAAACATTAACTAAAGAAAATAAAATAAACAAATAAATTAAAACAAATGAATTATTTAAACCTTATGTAAAATAAAATTACGTAAATTAAATATTCAAATATAATAAAATAAAATAAAATAAAATAAAATAAAATAAAATAAAATAAAATAAAATAAAATAAAATAAAATAAAATAAAATAAAATAAAATAAAATAAAATAAAATAAAATTAAATTAAATTAAATTAAATTAAATTAAACTTAATTAAATAAAAAATGAAAAGAATAAATAAAAGAAAGGTTAGTTATATAATGTAATGTAAATTAAAGTAAAATAATAGAACCAAAATAAAATAATAAAAAAAAATAAATAAATAAAATAAAATAGAAAAAAATGAAGTGAATTGAATTTGAATTTAATTAAAACATATTTTGTAAAATAAAGAAAATTATATAAAAAAATATAACAAAATGAAACGAAATAAAACTAAATTTAATTAATAAAATAACTATCCTCTACAAAGCTCTCGCCTGCCAGGAATCGCTCTTGCACTACTTCACAGAGGCGTTCCACTTTTTTAATAGCGAGACTATATCTCACCAACTGCGTATAGGTGCCATTCATCCGCTCGAGGTACTTTTTCTGTGAGCTCTTTTAATTTTTAACCAATTTTCTTCGCTTTGTAGCATAATTGAGATAATTTTCTTAACTTTTAGTTTTCAAATCTGACTTCAGTCTATCAGCGAGTGAATTTGAATATTATATGTTTTGCCGCGTCTTCGGTACATCGATGTACATGCATGACATATCTGAGCTTTTCCTCTTATATACAAATATTTCGTTGAGTATAGGGGATTGGATAGCATCTAGGTCATATAATAAACTACTTCTCTGAACTTCTAGTTTTTGATACTCTAAAATCAGGCTTTAATCTAGCCACCGTTTTCTACCTTGTTTTAGGGTTTATTTTCTGATGTTCTACCTGATTGTAATGACAAAACTTCTTTCGATTTCTATTCTTTTTGGCTGCTTAGAGATCGATGTGAATGCTTCCGCTTATTGCAGCGCTAATAACCTGTTATTATACGGCATGCCGAAGCTAGGCTAGTACAGTTCGCATGTTTTCCTTCCTAAGTGAGTTCGCCCCATAATAATTTTTTTTGCTGAAAAGTGATGTTGGAGGCTTTTACTGCAGCATTTTTGACCTGTGCCAAGTATCACAGTCCAGCGTTTAGACTTTCACATATTTTATTCATAATTTTATTGATATTTCTGCATTATTGTCAGCGTTCTTATATTTCGTTGTTGTAAAAATAAGTATGACATACAACAATTTCTCATACGCCGAAAGCTTTTGCACTTAAAAATGTTTCCGTCTTTCGTTTTCTTCACCAGCCTCGCTGCACAAAAGAAACGTACATATAAAAAAATATAAAGAGATTTCATTTTCATGCTCATGCTTTTTTTTTTGTTGCCATTACTTTTATTTGTACTTTGATTGCTGCTTTATGGCTATTTTATGAGTTTTGTCTCCAGCGACGCCACATTTCTTGAGCGCTCCTTACAAGTGTTGCACATACAAGTGTTGTATCACAAGTTGTTTATCACGCGTATTTACAACAAAGTGAAGTTGAATGTACAATACATACAAACAAGTAAATGTTTATATGTGTACATATGCTCTAACAAGTCCAATACAAAAACTAATAATTTATATGACTTTCATTGGTGATTTGCAACACTTACACGCATACATATATACAAGTTTTATATGTACATACGTATGTACGCACATAAATACATCTCTCATTCGTCCGCCGGTATTTATTAGTACAGTTTTGTATACATTTCATCTCCGTTGATGGGGATATTAATCAATTTGTCCATGTTTTGCTAATTTTTGCCATAAAATTATGCGCATATAAATGGCAGCAAAGTGATGTAATCAACAAAAAAATAACAGTGTTTATTCTTAGCATTTTGACTGGAATGTTATATACAAAGGCGAAACTGTGTTTGAATGAAAATGTTTCTATGCGCAAAATGCTCAAATTGCCTTTTAGTTTGGGTAAAAGAAAGTTTTTTAATAAAAATAATATTAACATTTGCTGCACAGTATCATCTGAAGTTGATCAAGTAGTTGGAAGGGCTGAAAACAACTCTAATAAAAAATATTTTCCTATTCGAAAAATAATTTTTAATTCTTTACAGATCAGTTTTCAAATGAAAAAGAAATAAAAATAAAAATTGGCAAAAAGATTAAAAAATCGATGCCTTTTAAGATCTCCGAAAGTTTTCATTTTTCTTAATACTTTCATTTAAAATTTTCTTCAATTTTATTTATATACTTATTAGGTACGAGTCTTTACTAAGAAATGCCTGAAGGTAGGCAATCTTTTTTAACAGCTGGTAAATTCTGTAGAGTAAATAAATGTTGCCTACATTTGTGCGTATTTTAAAAAAGCACATTCCTTTTTTCAATTCAAGTTTACCAAAAAAAAAAAAAATATATATCAAAAAGGAACAGAAAGGTATGTAACTGATAGTGCACTAAGTGATAATTTTTCCTTTCCTTCAACTATACAATAACACTTAGAGCACTCGCTGAATTTTATGAGTTACTGTATTCACTCCACTATTCAGCAAAACAAAAAAGGGACATAAATAATTTTGCGAATATGTTCAATCAATTATGAGTAGCAAAGTGGCAATTTGTAACACATTTCTGGACCTGCACTCCACGGGGAATTATGAATCATTGATATATTTGCTCAACTCGCGCCGTGGGGAACATTTGTTACCGAAAACGCATGAGGCTTTTATTGCTTAAACTTAATATGTCTAACACTAGGTATATGTCAGCTATATTTAGCCTGCCTTTGAGGTTTCAAGGCAATTCGAGAGAAGTGTACATGAGAGTATTGTTATATAATTATTTATTAATGCATTCATGTGTATGTGTAAAGAGAGACTGTTTAAGTCAAATAGACATGGAAAATCTAAAACTTTTTTGTGAGTTATGTGCTTTTATAAAAAGCAATATTGATTGCACAGTAAAAGAATTCTACTTTGGAGGTCAAGATTTCTATAGCGCCTTCCTTAGGAAGTATATAATAGCGGTCCTGAGATATTTTTAAATAACATTGGACTATTAAGGATTTGTATTTTATTTCTCAATTTAGCTTTTTAGAACTTGTCTGTTTGAAAAGTAGTTGAGTTATGCAAATTTTTTGATTTCAACCTCCTTTTTTTAAGTGTCAATTGCACTGAAGAGAAATTTCTGACTTGAGATTATAGTAAAGGCTTGGGTAGAGCTTTCGTACGTTTTATAATAAATCCTGTTGTCTAGGCTCAGGATCAACGTATAGACATAAATGACAGTAACCGATAAAACTATGGTACTGTTCGAACACTACACAATCTCCATTTCTTAATAAGAAAAAGAAATCTGTTACAGCGCTAACTTTTTTCGCACACCGCTGATTGGATAAAGAATGATAGAGTAGGAACTGGATTGAGAAAAAAAGAACATATTTGAAGATTTATCCAAAGTAGAGTTATGCTTCAGCACAATTTGTAGCGACATCTGTGGAGGAGCTTCTTACTGATGATACGCAGTAAAATCGGCATACTTTAATGAGCTTTGATTATGAAAGACATTAATCGTTTCTCAATCTTAGAAAATCCTTTGAGCATTCATAGATCTAGAATTGCCAATTCCTAGTTTTTATGATCAGCTCTAGGTAATTTCATAAAAATTAATACTAAACTTTTCTGGAAATATTTTTGAAGCGACATATAAATAAAGAAAATCCTCAAGTAATATTTGCTTCTATATGAGTAAATATTCTAGTTTGTGGGTTCTTCCATTCCAATAATTGGAACATACTACAAATTTGTCAATTTAGATTTCTCGTCTACTACAATTCTAAAACCTCTTTAGCACATAATCCGATAGTACATACATAGATGCATCGATTTCAGTGCAGTACTATGAAATTTCAAAGAAATTAAATGACTTTCGTATATAGCAAAGCAAAATTCTGCAGCAAATTCGCTTGGCAGAGCGTATGAGTAACATTTTCCCTGTATGGTGTGAGAGAAAGAGAAAGCGAGCTAGAGGGTGTCTGATGTTGGCTTTGACAAAAGCTATACATATATTCGCATGTATCCAAAATCCAAATGGGACTACTTTACATACATACGCATATGAAAATGCTTACATGGAGCAGACTATATACTATATGTATATTTCTAAGTGCAGCTATTCACATCAATTTGGTGGCAAAATAACACAGCAACACGTTTCTTCCACATAAATTCCCGCTGCCAGCACAATATGCAACA